ACAACAACAACCCTGTGAGGTAGGTTGGGCTGAGAGGCTGTGACTGGCCCAAAGTCACCCAGTTGGCTCCATGGCTGAGCGGGGACTTGAACCCGGATTGCCAGAGCCCCAGTCTCATGCGCTCAACCACTACGCCACACTGGCTCGCCACATGTCTGCTCTTGAAATTCCTGCTGAGCCTTGCAAGACGTTCAAGTTCGAGCCTGCGACTTCCCCAGTGGAGGCATTCCGCCCCTTTCCTGGCCCCCTTTTCTCCTGCTGCCCTTCGCCTCCCTGGCATGGCCGCCTTCTCCGGGGAGTCTAGCCGGGAGATGTGCTCAGAGTAGGACAGCCCCGGGTTTGCCATTTTTGCTTCTAGGGACTGGCCCTAGGACCCTTTAGCTCAGTGGTGGCGAACCTACGGCATGCAGAGCCCTTTCTGTCGCACGCGAGCCGAGCATCGGACAACAGCGCACACAGGGGCCATGCGCAGGCTCGGAAAGGAGTAGCGGTGCCAGGCGAAGTCGTCATGAGCTGCGACTCATGAGCTGCGACTCGTCCGAGCTTTTGCCTGGCCGGTCAGTGTACTGCCAAGGATATATATATATTTGCTTGGACTGCCTGCAATTTGTTTTTTCTAAACTAAAACCTCAGTTTTCAGGTTTTATTGTAGTGTTGGCACTTTGCAATAAATAAGTGGGTTTTGGGTTGCAGTTTGGGCACTCGGTCTCGAAAAGGTTCGCCATCACTGCTCTGGCTTGTCTTTTGGCTGGTCCAGAGAATTCACAAAGTTCTCCTCCAGCACCCACTTTCTGCAGTGTCCGGCTTTCACATCCATACCTGGACAACTCTTACTGCGTAGAACTCAAAACACAACAGCGGGCCAAAGGTGTGGAGCAGACAAGCAAGAGCGAAGCCAGCCCATTGCTTGTCTAGATTCTGTTGGGAGCACTGGGAAATGCCCCGGGGAATGTTAGGAATGCTGGCACCAATCGTACAGAATTACTTTCCAGAATATAAGCGGCCATGAGCCCTGCTCTCAATTCCAGCGTACGATAGGCATTTTCGGCATTGCCGCTGCAAGTTAGAATCTATAAGTTGATAGTTGCATCCATGATCGCTTTAATTGCTGAGTGAGAAAAAAACCTTCATCAGAAGGACTACGGATTAAGACACATGTTTGGAGACTATTTAGGTCCTTGGATGTTGCTATAGTGAGGGACAAATGAAAATATTAACCATGGCAGTTTCTATTCTCAATGAGTGGTGGATTTTGTTCTTTAAATTACAAGGTCATGAGTGGGCATGTCATGAGCGGAGCCAGCTGGAGCCAGGGGTCAGACTAGATGGTCCGAGAGGCCCCTGCTGACTCGCTCTATTTCTATGTTTCTCAGGTATTTCACTTCTCCTCCCAAATCTAAAAGAACACAAAGGTTTTGGCAGCATGTGAATTTATGTCCCCCTGGACATAAATCTGCTGGAGCTGGAACGTATTCTTGGACATTAATTGGAGTTAATGCCTCCCTGATGTTCTCACAGATTTGAAAGAGATTTGCAAAGGTCAAGCCCTTGTTGAGGAAACCCAGTCGAAAACTCTGGTGTCAGATAACTACCTCCCAGTATCATATTTGCCATTTTGGGGCAAACTGCTGGAGCATGTCTTGGTCTCACAACTCCAACCAGCATTGGATGAAATGGATTCTTTACATCCATGTCAAACAGACTTAAGACGTAGTTATGGGATGGAAGCAGCATTGGTTGTCCAGGTTGAACTTCTGCTGCAAAATGGATTGTAGAGCAACCCAGCTGGTTCTTCTGGGCTTCTGAAGAACTTTCGATCCAATGGACTATGGTGTCCCTTCTGGATTGTTGGGGTCGGGAGGCACAGTTTTGAAGTGGTTCTGAGACCTCCTGGAGGAGCAGTCTTAGATGCTCTTCCCGGGGAACCTTGGTCCTCTCCCGTGGCCATTTGCCAGGGCGGAATGGCAATCTTCCGTCTTGTTCCCCATACTTTTTAATATCTCCATGAAACTGCTGTGGGGAGTCCCCAGGAGGTCTGGTTGTAGGGCCACACAGCTGTCTGTTGTTTCCATCTGCAGGTCTGGGAGTCTGTTGGAGTCCCTGGGCGCAGCCCCTCGGACTCCGGCCGGTTTTGTGGCAGCCACGAGCCTGAGTCCTGGCAAGCAGGCCCAGTGTTCACCCGGCACTCGCCAGAACTGAGCCCCGCATGACTGCCATGCAAGCAGCTTCCCTCCGCCACGTCATGTGCAGCGGTTGCTTCGCGCTGCTTCATGTGACGTGGAAGGCGGCTGCCAGTTGTGCCACCTCTGTTCCACAAGTGCTCACGGGCTTCCTCTTGGTCTGGCTGACTTTCTAAGTCAGGGCTGAGCACAAGAGGACGTCCACAAACCTTTGATGGATGGATTCTGCAGGGCTTCCAAATACCCTGGGGGCTGTTTGGGGGTGGACGGAGGTACATGCACTGTGACTTAATCCTGATGAGACTGCCAGTTGGGAAACCAACTACCATATCTACTGAAATAACAAGCAACCCTTGAAAATGGAACTAGTGATGCAAAGCTGGGGGTGGGGGGGAGGGGTAGGATTAGGGTGGGGGGTCATCTTTTATGCCAGGTGAAAATTTTTCATCATTGAACAAGACCCCCGTATCTGCAGAGGATGGATGCAAATCCCCCAGGGATGCCTGTAAGCACAGGACCTCTGCAAAAACGGGAAAACCACAAATACCTCTGGGGTCTCTGCCTGGGGATGCCACGGTCTTTGTTCTGACACTAGCCTGTCTATGCGTTTTGTCTCTCGATGGGCGCAAAGTCCCTAGAGATATTAGCATTTTTCCTAGAGATATTCATGGGGTTTTTTGCAAGAGATATACCTATGCATAGCAGAATGTAGGAGAACCTTTGAAACGGGAAATAATGAAGAAAAAACTGGGGTCATCCCATATGCCTGCCATAGGAGCAAAGCAGCCCCAAACACTGACCTCTTCTTGTAGGGGAGTCGCCTTATACATGGGTGTTGCAGCCCTCCGGCAGCAGATTTGCAGCTGGCTGCAGGTGGGTTGCCCTCCCCCTAAAAGGGGGATCCTCCTGGACCGTGCGCCAACTCAGGAAAGCAGCTGGCTGCAGTGTCCAGCAATACATTTGACCAGCTCAGGCTGGCAGGCTGCTGCAGCCGTATGGCGAGGGCGGATCTTGCCCCGGCTATTCATCCAGGCTGAACTACCGCCATGAAGAGCCTGTGGGGCTGCCCTTGGAGACCGTTTGGGCCTTTCAGCCAGTGCAGAGAGCAGCTGCCCAAGGGCCAGTAGAGAAAGCCTCGCCTGTGCCAGTCACGCTTGTGAAGGAGCACTTCCAAGTTCCATTTCAAGGGCTGCTTTTGCTCTTTAAACCCCAGAACAGTCTGGGAACAAATGACCGGCAGGGCTGCTTTCGTGGTCTGAGACAAGCAAGGGAGGCCCTTTTGTTTCCCGAGATGGGACAGGAGTTAAGTAAATGACAAGACAATGAAATGCATTTTACTGCTGCTGCTAATTTAACTGGAAGGCTGACTTGCTGCAAAGCAAAGGACCAGCCTCCCGTGTCATCCGTATTTCCAAGAACGGAGACATCCTTGCTAGCAACAATTTGGGGGCTTGGTGTTTCTGATTTTGCTAGCTGTTCCTATGTGCTTCCTTAATCAAGTGGCTTGCTTGCCAATATCCCAGATGCCCAGTTAATGTTCCAGCGACAGAAATGATTGCCAGGACTGAGGGCGCAGGGACCACCCAGCCTTGGACAGGCGATGTCCACTGGACCGGTGAAGCTGAGAGCGGAAAGCAGCTTGCAACGTGAACAGATGGGGGAGCAGAGGGCCGCTTGGGGACTGGGTGGTGTCTGAACCCAGGTCACCATCCACCTGTCCCAGGTTTGCAGCCAATCACATAAGCTGTAAACTGGAGGTGTTCCCTGTGGGCCTTGAGGGTGCTTCTTCACTCCCGTTGGCTCCTGCTTTGTAATTAGAATCAAAGCCGATATTACAAATGCCGTACGGATTCCTAGTGCTCCAAAGAAACTGTGTCCCTTAGAGCCATGCCATGGAGCTCACTGGGGATGTCACAGTCACAGACTCTCAGCCCAACCTACCTCACAGGGTTGTTGTTGTAGGGATAAAATGAAGAGGAGGGGGATTATAAAAGCCACCTTGAGTTCCTTGGAAGGAAAGGTAGAATATAAATATCATAGATAGAAAGGTCAGTAGATAGGGAGGTGGGTGGGTGGACAGATAGATAGAGTTCTTACAAAAACAATAAAAAAGGTAATATTCTCAATTTTTTGCAAACAAAACCACTGACTTCTTTACAAAGCAAGAGACGATGCAGAGCCGTTCCTTCATATCCATGTGTAACCTTCACCTTCTTTGGCCCTCCCGGCAGAGCAAGCGATGACGGCGGCGATTCCCACCGGCACCGAGAGACAGACCAGCACAGCCGCTCCTCCCTGGGCCACCAGCAGTGACTACTTTGACCCCACGATGCCAATGACCGCAGAGATGACAATAGGAAGCACACCCTTTCAGGACACACTTGAAGGAAACCCGGGTTCTACCAGTGACGTGAACCTTGCGCAGGAAGGAACACAGAATCCTTTCTGGGCCACCACTTACGTAAATGCTACTTCCACTACTGATATCAAAAACAAAGAAGTCACGTCCCCAGGAGAACATATAAAGCAACCAACACAGACACTTGTTAAAGAAAAGGAAGTTTTGGAGAAGGCAAATTCCTCAAACCCTTTGTTGGAAAAAGGGACGGCTCAACAGACTCAATCAAGTGAGGCAGTTACAGCAGGGGCTGGAAAAGCAAATGCAGGCAGTGAATTGAACCCGGGTGGAGCTTTGCTGGAAGAATCTACAGGGGCCACCTCTGGACCTTCTGCAGACGCTGCAAATGAGGCTGTCTCCCCAGCCTTAGACCCAGCAGTTCCTTCTCGTGACACGGCAGTGCTGCCAACAAGAGCCATTCCTGGTGGCAGAAGCTCCCCTGTAGGGCCTCTTGGGGACAGTGCAGTGACGGGAAGACAGACGCCAGCTTTGGATTTGCAGCCCCCCAGGGAGGCAGCCATTGGATCCACAAAACCAAATGGACTTGCCACCATCCAGCCCCACATGGGGGACTTGGGTGTACAACCCATTCCTATTGGAGGACGAGGGGATTCAGAGAGCATAGTGCCTGCAACAGCATCGAGCACTGATGTGGAAGGGGTCAGCCCGGGACAACCAGGGGAGGCCCCCACTGGAAAATCGGAGGACCTGGCAGCAGAGAGTTCAACACGCGCTCCACCTGGCTTGGCCTCTGGCAGCTACCCTCCCCCTGGACCTTCAGAGTTGGGCTCAGAACCGACAGCACGTCCTCCAGTTGGACTTAGCATGGCTCCAAGACAAACGTACCAGTTCCCTGACGAAGGCAAGACAGCAACAGTCTCCGTAACAAAAGAAAAGGTGAAGGAAGGTTCTAGGAGCACGAGCACCAACCAAGAAGCAGCTGTTTCACAAACAGAAGCACCAGAAGGAGAACAAGCAAATGGATCCACTGGACCCCCAGCTCCATCAGGAGGAGAACCTGTGCCTCCCACAACATTGCCGGATGGAACACTACTTGTCTCTTCAGGTTCCAATGCGGGTGCAACAGGAGCTCCGTCAAATGGTCCAGCAGTGTCTCCGGGCTCCTCAGGTGGTGGTGTAACACTTCCCGTGTCTACAGGTTCCAACGCGGGTGCAACAGGAGCTCCGTCAAATGGTCCAGCAGCGTCTCCAGACTCCTCAAGTGGTGGTGTAACACTTCCCGTGTCTACAGGTTCCAATGCGGGTGCAACAGAAGCTCCGTCAAATGGTCCAGCAGTGTCTCCAGACTCCTCAAGTGGTGGTGTAACACTTCCCATCTCTTCAGATTCCAGCACTGGAGGAACAAAAGCTCCACTGGATAAATTACCAGTGCTTCGAGTGGCCTTGGGAGGACAACTTGTAGTTCCTTCAACATCTCCTCAGGAAACACTTCCTGGCAGTGTAGATTCTAACTCTGGTGCAACAGGAGCACCCTCAAACGGTCCACCAGTGTCTCCGGGCTCCTCAAGTGGTGGTGTAACAATTCCCATGTCTACAGGTTCCAATGCTGGTGCAACAGGAGTGCCGTCAAATGGTCCAGCAGTGTCTCCGGGCTCCTCAAGTGGTGGTGTAACACCTTCCGTCTCCTCAGGTTCCAATGCTGCTGCAACAGGAGCGCCGTCAAATGGTCAATCAGTGTCTCCGGGCTCCTCAAGTGATGGTGCAACACTTCCCATGACTACAGGGTCCAACGCTGGTGCAACAGAAGCTCCATCAAAAGGTCCAGCAGTGTCTCCAGGCTCCTCAAGTGGCGGTGTAACACCTCCCGTCTCTTTAGGTTCCAACGCTGGTGCAACAGGAGCTCCGTCAAATAGTCCAGCAGTCTCTCTGGGCTCCTCAAGTGGTGGTGTAATACTTCCCATGACTACAGGGTTCAACGCTGGTGCAACAGGAGCTCCATCAAATGTTCCACCAGTGTCTCCGGGCTCCTCAAGTGGTGGTGTAACACTTCCCGTGTCTACAGGTTCCAACGCTGGTGCAACAGGAGCTCCGTCAAAGGGTCCAGCAGTGTCTCCGGGCTCCTCAGGTGGTGGTGTAACACTTCCCGTGTCTACAGGTTCCAACGCTGCTGCAACAGGAGCTCCGTCAAAGGGTCCAGCAGTGTCTCCGGGCTCCTCAAGTGGTGGTGTAACACTTCCCGTGTCTACAGGTTCCAACGCTGCTGCAACAGGAGCTCCGTCAAATGGTCCAGCAGTGTCTCCGGGCTCCTCAAGTGGTGGTGCAACACTTCCCGTGTCTACAGGTTCCAACGCTGGTGCAACAGGAGCTCCGTCAAATGGACCAGCAGTGTCTCCGGGCTCCTCAAGTGGTGGTGTAACACTTCCCGTGTCTACAGGTTCCAACGCTGGTGCAACAGGAGCTCCGTCAAATGGACCAGCAGTGTCTCCAGGCTCCTCAAGTGGTGGTGTAACACTTCCCTTCCCTTTAGGTTCCAACACCGGAGGAACAAAAGCTCCATTGGATAAATTACCATTGCTTCGAGTTGCCTTGGGAGGACAACGTGTATTTCCTCCAACATCTCCTCAGGAAATACTTCCTGGCGCTGCAGATTCTAGCTCTGGTGCAACAGGAGCTCCATCAAATGGTCCAGCAGTGTCTCCGGGCTCCTCAAGTGGTGGTGCAACACTTCCCGTGTCTACAGGTTCCAACGCTGGTGCAACAGGAGTTCCATCAAATGGATCACCAGCGTCTCCGGGCTCCTCAAGTGGTGGTGTAACACTTCCCATCTCTTCAGGTTCCAATGCTGGTGCAACGGGAGTTCCATCAAATGGATCACCAGCGTCTCCGGGCTCCTCAAGTGGTGGTGCAACACTTCCAGTCTCTTCAGGTTCCAACGCTGGTGCCACGGGAGTTCCATCAAATGGATCACCAGCGTTTCCGGGCTCCTCAAGTGGTGGTGCAACACTTCCCGTCTCTTCAGGTTCCAACGCTGCTGCAACAGGAGCTCCATCAAGTGGATCACCAGCGTCTCCGGGCTCCTCAATTGGTGGTGCAACACTTCCCGTCTCTTCAGGTTCCAACCCTGGTGCACCAGGAGCTCCATCAAGTGGATCACCAGCATCTCCGGGCTCCTCAAGTGGCGGTGCAACACTTCCCGTCTCTTCAGGTTCCAACCCTGGTGCACCAGGAGCTCCATCAAGTGGATCACCAGTACCTCTGGTTCCCGCAAGTGGAGATGTCGTATTCCCTAGCTCTGCTAATTCCAACTCTGCTGCCACCTCTTCCGTGGGCCAAGTCACAGGAACTGCTAAGCATGTGCTTTCAGGAAAACCAGAACCACCTGCTCTGGCTTCTTCCAGCAACGTCCCTTCAGGGTCAAAGGCCACCATGCCAGGGCCTTCAAGTTCTGCCAGCTCATCACTGTCCCATTCCGCTGCTGAGGAGAAGCCAGTCGCTGGCGTGAGCAAAGGGATACCTGCCAATAGCAAAGTGTCTCTCCCAGGGAGATCAGGGGCCCAGCTTACAGTCTCCGGAGATGGCCTTCACCTTGTGAAACTCTCACCGATCTCCAAGGAAGTGGACAAGAAGCCCGATTTGCACCCACAGAAGTCCAAGTATAGGAAACCAGCAACTGCCAAGGAAACTAGAGTGAAGTTGGGCCTCCGAGCTGCAGCTTCCGTTCCTGAGCCATCAGGTAGGCGTGCTGGGAACCTAGATTTATACTGAGTTATACTTAATTGTTTAAATACATTTGAACAGCATAATAAACTTTTCCTAGTAAGGAGTCACAGATTTACAAGACACTCAAGACAAAATGCTGGGATCGTATTGGCATGTAAGACAATAGAAATTAGTAGTAATATTGTGAGTATATTTGTTTCTGCAGCCTCAAGAAAAGGTGGTAATGACCAGGTGATGGCTTTAAAAAACTGATTAGAAAGGTTAAAAAATGTGGAGGTCCATCGATGGTGTGGCAGGATGTTCCAAGTTCACAAGGCTTATGTTTGAAAATATCCTCTTTTTGGAAGGCTGTCCTGTTCAGGTCCAGTTTAATGCTCGCAAACCAGGAGTAGGAAGGCAGGAAAAAGGGTTGAGGTTACCCAACATCAGAGAACACCTGGAGCAAACAGCAGACAAAAGGGGCCTCCTTGTCTCAATCTTCCTTTTATTTCCATTTAAATTTCAGACACATTTTTAACAGCTTCTCACCTGTGGCATAAAACCAACCCTTTACTGAGGTTTCTTCCACATTCTGTGCTGGAGGAAGCACATGTCTTTGTCACAGCTCCCGTCTTTCTTTCTCTGCCTTCCTCTCGGATCTGTTAGCCAGCCATTTTCATTTGTATACCTCCATCAGCCATTGATAACAAGAAAGGCTGGGGAGATACCAGGGCTATCAAATCACAGCATGCAGGATGGAACGAGCAAGAGAGAATAAAGAGACCGCAAGTGGGAGTAATTCTTAAAATGCTTAGTTCTGCCTTGGATTCATAGTCATGGTTACAGCAACAGGTAAGGGCCAAATACAGGATACATACGGGCTGTGGGGAAGAGGAAGAACAAGGGTGTTGGAATCTCGCCATTCACCTGGGCTAATTAATTAACAGAATCTGCTTTATGTGCAGCAGCACCGTTGTTTCCATATGGGCCAAGTGCGAATGATAAAGAATATGTCGAAAGGAAAGTGGATTTTAACTCACCGTTGCTCAGGCCTGAGATTGGAGCCCCGCTGGGGAAAAAGCTCTTCGACGCCCTCTATGTGAGTCTATAATCAATGGGTTTAGGTTAGCTTTCCTGATCAGATAGAGGATGTTGTGAAGCAGGCTCTCCCCACAGGAAAAGCTGGGAAAGGGGCATCCTTCTGGGGGCACAATTGCCAGGGGCCTTTATCACCCCAGGCTCTCAAAGGGGAAGTGGGCAGAGAAAGAAGAGAACCCGGCTATTTCGGCGACCTGGCAGGACTCTGCTCACGTTAAGCGCATGCGACAACCAGGATCAAAGGCTTTTGGACTGAGATGCTTCTTGGTACCGCAACGCCATGCTGGTGGGTGCGGGTCCATCCATGTCCGGGCACCGCTGTTTCCACAACCGTGTCAGTTTCTGGAAGCAGTACTCCTTTGTTCCAGGTTCTTGTTGTTGGAAAACTTTGGGATGGTGCAGAAATTTGGGGGCATTTGGCTCGTGGAAGCTGTAGCCATTGATGCAAATGTGAACAATTCGAACTCATTAGAAGCCTAATCCAAACGCGAGGGGTACTTCCAGAGGGAGGGCTTAGTGCTCCCACTGGGAAAGTCTCATGTTGTAGGCACTCTGTCTTTTCTTTCTGAATGGATTGTCCTGCGGGAAGAGAAAAAATGGGAAAACAGTGGAAAACCATGGGAGGAGTACAAATGGAAGAGAATATTGTCTTGAACCTCCATGCGAGTCTGTGGATGAGGTGGGGCAGTGAGGCCATGGGACGCTTCACCTGGAGAGTGCAAACGATTTTGCAAACTTCAGCTGCTGCAAGCTATTTTGGTGGTGGTGATTTGCAATAATAGATGAAACCTGAATTGTGATGTCTACATCTGGTTTTCAAATAAAAGGGCTGAGTCTTGATCCCAAAAGCACCATTATCATCATTACCAGTATTATGAAATCTTAATAAGGACTTCCCCATGTGCATGATCACTTACAGAGGGTTTTTTTAACCCACCCAAAGCTTACCTTTTCCACAGATTTAGCCAGAACGAAATTATTTCAAATGAAAAACCCAGTCTGGTTTAACCCGCCAACATATTTGCCCTATCCTTATTTTATTTTATATTGTTATCTTTTGTATTTTAATTTATGTTGTGAGCCGCCCCGAGGCTTCGGCGAATGGGGCGGCATAGAAATGTTATAATAATAATAATCCTTTCACTTAGTTCACGGACAACGGACAAATAATTTTCTCAGCCTCTGGTGACAACACCGGCCAGTATCCAAACCCACCTTCCAAAGGATTTAATGGCCAGGAGAAAGTACCTATGATCGCTGTGTTTTGGCACAATGCCGACTTCTCCAGAGGCAGTGGAACGATCTTCTACCAGGTGAGTCTGGATTGCTCTATTCTTTGAACTGGCAACATTAACAAATCAGATTGAAAAGGAATGTGGACGTTTAAAAGGACTGTGGACGTTTTCTACCTGTCCGTTGTTCTACTGTTGTGGCTCCAATGTCTATGGGATGGTGTGTCCACTCGGGGCTGCAGTCTGAGCTTCAGAGAAGATACCCACAGCGCTGAACTGAGAACTCCCCAAAGCTCCATCAAACTTCGCAGAATACACTTCTCACCACGTCGACTTACAGCGCAAGCATCAGCAATACCACTGTTCCATTCTGGCCCAAGCTTTAGCTTTGGTTTTTTATCTACTCACCATGTTGGAGTCCATTATAATGAAAAGGAGGGCCAGGTGCCATTTAAATATTGTTTTATGTGATTCCCACTTTCCCAAATTGTGAACTCTTCCTGGAAGGTTTTTGGTGTATGCCATTATTCCCAAGTTCTAGTAAGTCTAAACAGAGGCAAAGAGGCCCTTCTGTAAGGCAGCAGAGCTGGTGCCCCATATTGTGGGATGTCAAACCTAAGATCCACTGGTCAAAAGAGGCGTACCTGGGGCCCTAATCCAGCCCTCCTGGCCTCCCTGGATGGATCCCTTTGATGAGAATGTTGTTCTCTGAAGTGACACCCTTCATCAAACTCGGACGTCGGCCTCCACAAAGTCCATGGGATTCCCCCACATTTGGGAATGCGTTCGGGCCTCTAGCCTTAACCTCAGAGTCTTCCGATTATGATGTTTCCATTCCAAGAGGCCGTTTTCCAGAGCCAAGCGCTCTGAATACACAAAGCGGCTTGGGACCAGGATACCTAAAGGAAAGCCTTTTTCCCTATTTGCCCTCCCGCCCCCTGAGATCGGCAGCAGAGGCCCTTCTCCGGGAGCCCTCCGTGAGAGACGTCAGGAGGCAAAGTACCTGGAGGAGGGCCTTCTCTGCGGTGGCACCCCATCTATGGAATGCGCTCCCCAGAGAGGTCCGCCTGGCACCGTTGTTATTTGCTTTTCGGCGCCGGGTTAAGACCTTTTTATTTAATCAATATTTTAATATGTTTTAATATTGACTTTTACTGTTGTATTTTTATTAACTCACAGCCAGAGTGGGTTGTCAATTTATTTATGCTGTAAGCCGTCCAGAGATGCAAGTAATTGGACGACATACAAATTTTATAAATAAATAAATAAATAAATAAAAGTGCACCCCAGAAATGTCTCTTCAGGGCTACAACGTGAAGCCTTCAAAGGTGCTAGACTGAACTTCCAAATTGTTTCTGGCGCTCCCCTTCACCACTCATGTTGCATCATTTCCTTAAACCTGCATGTGAGGTTGATCTCTCTAATGCTTCATAATCCTCCACTGGACACAGGAATATGTTACCCGGGGTGCTGCCAAGCACCCGCTCGTCCGGAATGTGGAAGCGAAGATTCGCCAGTATATGAGGACTTCCTACTCCGCCAGGTGGACACTCAAGATCACTTGGGTGAAGGCCCAGGCCTACCTGGCACAGAAGCGGGACAGCAGGGTGAGTTGAGTTGCCCTCGGAAAACCAGCATAATGTTGGTTTGCCAATTTTTTAAGGACTATTTCTAAAAACCTTGCAAATAAACTGGTTTCCTCCTGCTTCACTGTCATACCTAATACATGAAAAATACCACATTTTCTCCATACATTAGAAGAGTGTGAGAAAAGAAGCTGGCTTTTAGATGCATCAAAATGTTTTGCCAAATGATGGCAAAGATGCTGTGACCCGTCCCATTTTCAGTGGCTTTGATCTTTTGCTTAAATATAAAGCTTTAGTGGAATTGTTCTTTATTTTTATGATGTGTTCAATGCACATAGAATAATAGAATAGAAGAGCTGGAAGGGGTCATGAAGGCCATTGGGTCCAACCGCTGCTGTTGCAGGACACGAAGTCACACCATCCCACCCAGAGGGCTGCCCAGTTTCTTTTTGAATGTCTCTGGTGCGGGAGAGCCCCCAGCTCTCCAGGCAGCTGGCCCCACTATCGCATTGCTCTGACAGTGAGGAAGCTTTTCCTGATGTCCACCCTGAATCTGGGTTGTCACAACTTGAATTGGTTATTCTGTATCCTACACTCTGGTATTAGCAAGAAGAGATCTTGACATCTATGCATCTTACCTTCCTGCCAGAAATGTGACCCCCAAGTTTTACAGAATTGCCAATAACCAAATAATCCTGAAATATTAGATATTCTAGAATGGTTTTTCCAAGACTGATGCTTCCCATTGGCATTAGATTATGATGCCCAGGTCCAAACATAGCTGTCCTCAAAGCCATTTTGCACCTGCCATTAAAATAAGTTAGTACTATGATTTTATAGATGAAGTAATGTGAGATTTTTTAATAAAAATATATTTTTATAAATAAATATATATATATATTTATGCATCCTTACAGACAAACACTTATCAAGCCATTCTTACCACGGATGGATACAGAACATACGTGCTTTTCCTTTATCAAGATGGCGGGATGCAGTGGGACCACACTAAACTCCCCAGTTCAGATGTGCTGATAGGCTACACCAGGTATGGCCGTCTCGCAAGCCAGAGTGACGAGGGCGGGCTAAGGAAGTTGAGGACGTGGGTCTGAGCGTCCCTGGGTAAGGCCCAGCATTGGCTTCTGCTCAACAATTTTGCAATACAGTTCTCTGTTTAAAAAAATGCACACACAAACGCACGTTAGGGGAAAGCTGGCATGGAAATGCATTATCACAGGGGAAACCGCTTTGAAGCCACAACCACTGGGAAAAGGTGTAAATATTAGGAGAAATGGGCCCTAAAGGGTGTACTTGTTTAAATATGAATACATTAATGTATAAATATTGGAAAAATGAGACATGTAGCAGAACCAAAATTAACCGTTGTGTCTATCTCGAATATTGAGCCACTTGGGGGCAGTTCTGGGAGATTACTTGCCCCGGGTGGGCAAATTGTTGCGCATCCCTGCAAGATGACCTTCTGTTTCCCCTTTAGCGGTGATGGATACTTCAGAAATGACAATCTGATGTCTAAAACAGCCGCTGAGAAATACCGGCCAGACCAGCTCCGGGGCTACAACACAGGTACTGGTGCGCTGTGGCCGGTCACGGCACAGGCCTCCTTGTGTTCCCGCTGGACTCTCGTCCGGCCCCGCACCAAACAGGATGGGGAGCGGTGCAAGACCCAGGCGAGGCGCCGGGTGGGAGAAGACGACGGAGCTCCTTCGCCCACTCCAGGCGAATGCAGGCTCCGCGTTGTGGTTCGGCCCTCTCGGCGGCAGGCCCGAGCAGCCTGCAACCCGCCCACCCAAACGGGCCCCCTCCGCCCCACCGGCTGGATGTCACAGGCCACCCGGTGCTGGAAATCCTGTGCATTTTCGTGTCACAGCCTGGTCTTGTGAGGACGGCGGCTGGTGGGCTGTGAGACACGCAGGTCTGCCCCGCAGCACCGGAGGGGCTTGCTGTCAGCCAAGGTCCAGAAGGTTAAACTGGACCCTTCCCCTCACGTCAGGGAATTAAGGATTGGGGGTGGGGGTCTCTCTCATGAATAGTTCTGGGCCAGGAAGACAGGTGGGCAAAGAACCAGAAAAGAGCAGAAAGGGGGAGCCCGTCTCCTCATAGAGGTGCCCTCTGACTGTGTGGGACTGCACTTCCCACAATCACTCAGCCAGCCTCCTCAAACTATCCTGGATGGAGGCTTATGGGACTTGTAGTCCCACTCATCACTGTCAGGGAGGGCTGCTAAAAAGCCAGTGTGGTGTAATGCTTGGAACACTGACGAGGGAGACTCCACCTTGCAGGGTTGTTGTTGAAGTTAGAATGGGGAGGATTATCCAAACCACCTGGGTTCCTTGCAGGAGGAAAACAGACAGAATAGAAATGCAATTAATGATTAAAGGGGGAGGGGTTTTGCCTTCCTTTCCCCCCAGTAACCCTTGTTCTGTTACCGGCAGCTGCCAACCTCACCTTCCACAGCCTCTGGGCGCTTCTGCTGGGCCCCAGCCTGGGCCGCCCGGGAGAAACTCGCAGTTCACTTTTATCCCATCAGCTGTGGCTGTTCTTTTGGTTGGAGGGGTGGAAGCGCTGAACTGCAGGCACTGGACCAATCTTTTACCAAGGCCTAGCACCGCAGCAGCTTGCTTTATTTATTCTTCGTTCCTCAGGTTGTTTGCTGTCTTTCCAGCCAAGATTCACTTCCCCAAATGGCTGACCATTGAAATCTATGCAGCAGTACGTGGGGCTTTTCTATGCAAGGCCTTTGGCACGTGCAATTCACTGCTCATGGTTGCTTATGGATTCTTTGGATGTTATGACTCTCCAGGGTCTAACCAGCACTTTTGGCAAGTCTCGTGGAGCAGGGAAAATGCAGCACTTAACTGTGACAGCAAAAGAAAGCAGAATTTTTGCACGCGTATTTGCACTATTCCTCTACACCACAGTGCCACCTAGAGGTCATGCATGGAAAAACAGGAATGGAAACAGCCTGTGAAGTGTTGGATTGTACATTGGCAGCAAAACTAACAAGGGAGAGCCAGTGTGGTGTGGTTACAGTGTTGAACTGGGAACCCGGAGATCTGGGTTCTAGTCTCTGCTTCTCTACTCAGCTATGATGCTCACTGAGTCACTTTGGGCCAGCCCCTCTCAGCCTAACCCACCTCACAGGGTTGTTGTTAAGAGGGTGACATGGAGTGGATGTCACTGGAGTATATGCACTGCCTTGCATTCCTTACAGGAGGGAAAACGTTGGGATATAAGTGCAATGTAACAACGAAATAACAAACAATCCGCACAAACCCATTAAGAGCCTCGTGTAGAAAAACTCAGTATCATGTGGGATTTGTTGGTGGGGTGTGAGAAGGGGAAGCGCCTTCACGTCCCTTGGATCCCTTGCCAAGAGGTAAGATTCGAACCAGGGACTTTCTAGTGCACACTATGAACAGCCACGCTATCCCAGAATAAGGTCAAGGAGAGGAAAGGTGGAGTCTGTAGTAGCTGAACATGAGCCAGTGATGCTCAGTCCCTCTGTGGTGTGACTGCACCCCTTCCCAGGTGTTCGTGGGCTCTGGATCTACAAGTTGGACAGCCGCTTCCAGGTGAACTACCGGCTCAGGTGTCTTGACTGGATCAGCCATCAGGGGCGCCCATCGGCCTGGAACCAGAGCTTGCCCTCGTGCCCTTGCTCTCTGCAGCAGGGACGGTCGGACGGCCGCTACATACAGAGCAGAAAAGGTGCGTGACACAGACGGGACTGCCCTCTATGGCTTCCATTCAGCTTGATGGACGAAGCAAGTGCTTCAGGCTAAATTGTGGCCTTCATTAAATGAGTAACATGCAGAGAGAGGATCTAACTTTCTTGTGCTACTCCCATCTGGATAGGGGAGCACCCCTGCCCCCCAAATTAGGAATCACTAACTCATTTATCCTTGGAAGTTGGAATGTTTATGAACATTCCATTATTTCACAGCAGCTGATCCAAGGTCTGGAACAGTGACTGCGGTGAAAGGCAGATTAAAAGGCAGGTGGGGGGTCAGGGAAACAACCATTTTTCTCAGCCGAACCTCGAGAATCAAAAATATTCAGGCTCTCTTGAGCTGGGAGAAATGCTGACATCCTGATTTTTACTGCTATTTCCACTGGAATGAAGTAGCCAGGGAAGAATGAAAAGAATGGTCAATTAACGGAGACAAAATGATTCAGTAAAACAGTGTAAGAACAAAGGAACGCAGCATGTTTTGCTGTATGACCTCCCGCGTTGTGTGCTAAAGAAGACGGGGAACTTGGATACAGCTAATTCTGTGTCCGTGAAGGGATGAGGGTTTTAGGTATACACGAGTGTCCTGGTTTTTCAATCCATGGGATGTTGGTAGGTCTACAGTGGGCACTTTCTTCCTCATGGAAATGGCAAGTTTCAATCTTGCAGGTGCGCTAGGCTCTCGCTTGACTTTGCTGTATTCCTCTACTCCAAATAAATACGGCGCCGGGGTTCGGTGTGTGTATAATGGCAACAACCAGCTTGTGGAAGGCCACCAGGAGAAGGTCTGGAGGGGTTCCAGGAGGAGCTTCAGCAGTGGTAAGTAGCGCACTTGATGATGCCGGAGAGCCCCCACTTTCTCCGCACCTGCAACGCGCAAGAGAGCAACCAGGCAGGTCCCCCCAGGCGAGTCGGCTGTAAAGCTGTGCCTTGATTAGAGAAACTGGGGGCCGGGGAGGGGGCAACGGTAGCTTAAGCCTTAACTCCAACAAAGTCCAGAGACTTCCAGTTCCCCAGCTGTCCATCTAAGGCATGCTTTTTGTTGGAAACGCTTCCACATTGCGTCCATTGTCTCCTTCCCTTTGTTGGCATCGTTTTTGTTTCTAGACGAAGAGTTGAAATTCTACGACTGGTGCTGTGATCAGGCTGGAAGTCAACAACTTTGCAATATGTACGTCCAGAAGAGACCCAAGATTGGCTGTAATGGGTACAGGCCGCCTGTCCGGGGTGAGTATCCAACCAATTGCAAGAAGGGAAGGGAGGGTGGCCTCTTCCGGGACATCCAAGTGTTTGTCCGTCTGTCCATCCATGCAGCCATCTGGCTGCTCCCAAATTACGTTGTGCAGCTTTAGAGGTACTCAACCGAAAACGACAAAACAAGGGCGTGTTAGAGTTGGATTGTTTTTAGGTGGTTACCTGTAAGCCCTGATCTTTCCTTCAGGTCTTTGGAGGGGAGTGGGCTCTTCATATGCTGGTGGGGCCCTGATGCTTATCCTAGAATAGTGGAGTTGGAAGGGGCCAGAAGGCCATCAGGTCCAACCCTCGGCTGCTGCAGGGCACTAAGTTACCCCATTGGACACTAAGTTATGCCGTCCTCAAGCCGAATTATCATCGCTGCCAGTATATTTTGCTGGCCGTTTGGAAGAGCATCACTTTCCTGTGGGCCTTTTGAGAACGATCACCAGGGACGCCCGCGATGCAACCTGTCATGTTCTCTTTGCTGGCCGCTCCGTCCCACTCCTTTAGGTGAACTTCATGTATTCTTGAGGGTGGGTTTTTCCGGCGACGTCTGACTGGGCATGCTCTGCCCTCTTGAGAGCAGCTGCGGGACCACAGATGTGCTTGTTCAGGCAGGCCAATCCTTTCACACATGATCAGGTGCCAAGTTGAGGAAGGCTGGCATGGGACGTCCGTGTTTTGCAGAAAGCTGTTGCCCTTCTTCTTATTCTTAATAATAATAATAATTCCATTTTTGTACTGCCCCACAGCCAAACTTCTCTGGCAGTTTCCAACAGTGCATAAAAGCAAGACAATAAAATATAGTAAAATACCATGAAATCTTATCAAAGAAATATTTTAAAAATCAAAACAGCTAAAAGATACAGTGACGGTGAATGAGCTTGTGAAAGAAATGTACCTGAGAAGGGGACTTTCCCCACCCCTTGGGTGCCTGAGAAAATCCTGTAAAGTCTCGGCATGAAGGGCCGTCTTAACCTGGCACTAAAAAGATGACAAGGCTGGTGCCAGGCAGGCCACAGTGGGGCGGTTGTGCTGCAGACCGGGCGCCACCACCGAGAAAGCCCTCCCCGTTGTGGCCCAATTCAGGGCCTCCCTTGGAGCTGGCCCTCAGAGGAAGGCCTCAGGGGTCAAGTGTGGTGGCCAAGTAGATTGCAGCTGATAAGCCTCCTTGAAGAATAGCCCGTCCTTATTCCAGTTACCGAAACCTTCCATGTTCCCAAGATATGAATCAGGCCGAGGGCTGTGATTTCACATGGCATTGGCTCAAATCACTCTCTGATCTTTCCTTGAATCCAACAGCATCATCATCGTCATCAGAAGAGAACTTGGACAGCAGAGAAAGAGGTGAGACTCTGTTTTGCATGTGGATTTTCCTGCCCCCAAATTCAGTTATGACAGGGCTGGGCACCAGCAACGCTCGTGTCTCTCTCCCTTGGCTGTGCAAGCTAATATGCGGGGTAAACTATTCCACAAAAGACTGCAATTCCCTGGAAGTTTCTGTGGCATCCCACGGGGAAAACATCAGAGATGGCAGGCGAGCTTCTGGGAAATTCCACTTGCTGTTCTTCTCTTGCAAAGCTCAGCCCTTAGAGAGTGTGGCAGATTTTCCAGGGCACACGACTCTGAATAAACTGACCACAGAACTCCAGAACTTGGGCCAGTGCCAGGAGTAATGCCTTGCAGGTCCAAAATCCCTTGGCAGGCATCAGTACGGAGGGCTATCTCCATCGGAAGACAGATGGAAATGACAGATGCACTAATTCAGTAAATCAACACCCTTTTGACCAGTTACCGAGCAGAGAGGCTAACATTTCTTGAGAACGGGTACCAACGTTGCTGCTTTCTTCCTTACAGAATGAGACACTTCCCCCTCCTCCGGACTTCAGTTTGCCACAGATCCGCCACACTGATTCTCCCGCTGGAGTTTGCAGACTCCTGTAAAACGTTTGCTCCTCTGTTTTATGCAGGAGCAGAACTGGAAAGCTATTACCAATCGCTCTAAGGTTGGAATGATTGATTCGCGGAATAAAAAGGTCTTCACCCCCTCACCCCTCTCTCGGTGGCGTCATTATCCCAGTCACGGTGCAACAAGGAGGTCTGTCCTTGTGATAAATAATGTGCTAGAAGAAAAGAGCTGGGGCTCCAGCAATGCAGCTTACAGGTACCGCTGGGTACCTTCAGGTGTGCTCTCCAACTGATGGGGATGCGGAGGCCTGGGCCGATCCTGCAGGGCTCACGACTGCAGAGATCTGGGTGCTCAGCCGTCCCCGTCTATCCGCAGAGCAGCAGGAGCTTTGCTTTCTGGGTGCAAAGGAGTCCAGAGTGGCTTTATTTCATAGCATGTGCTTTCGACTGCACATCTTCAAGAAGTACCGATTACGGAGGAGAGGAGGACGCTTCCTCCGCACAGAGAGCCCTTCCTGGCCCTCTTCAGTCACATGCGGCCAGCCTCCACCGCAGCGAGGTGCATGAGCGAGCTCCTCGAAGTGGGACATGCCTCTCCAAGGGGCCCAGGGCAAAGCCATGGATGGCGCTTAAGCCTTTGGCCCTCTGTGCTTGCTTAGAGGGGGAGAACTGGTTACTGACCCTGAGGCATACCCGGAAGGGAAGCCTTATTCTGAGATGCTGGCAGGAGGACCTGCACCCCATATAAACCTGGTCAGAGTGGGAAACAACTCTCACAGAACGACAGAAGAGTAGAGATGAAAGGTGTCCAGAAGGCCATCAGGTCCCACCCGGCTCAGGGCTCTCTCCAGCTGCCTCTTGGATGCCTCCAGTGTGGGAGAGCCCACCTCCTCCCAAGGCAATTGGATCCATCGTCATTCTGCTCTCAAAGTTAGGGCATGTCTCCTGACATCTAGTTGCATTCTGGGTTCCTGTCGCTTGAGCCCATGATTCTGTGCCCTGTGTTCTGGGATGATCGAGACGAGATCTTGTCTCTTCCTCTTTCTGGCACTTGTAGAGCGCTATTCTATCTCCCCTCAATCTTCTCTTCTGGAGCCTTGCACATGCCCCAGTTCTCCCCCAAAAGTTGTGTTGGGATAATGAGTTGGATATAAGGGAATTCACACCTATCATTTTACAGTAAGGCAATTTTAAAAATTTATTTAGCTATCATTTTTGTATACTGTTGCAATAGCTTCATGGCTCTCTGGACGGTTCACATAATTAAAATCACAACAAAGCATAAAAACTACATTCCTATGAATTCTGATAGCTTATTGTTTTAACAACCACTACTAGTGGGGCAGAGAAAGAGTTTCTTCTTGTTCCTCCTTTATTCAACTTCTCTGTGAATGACATAGTTTTGACATGAACAAGGGACTATTTATTGCCCATTGAAATTGGGGGTAATAAATTGTTCTGCTTTATGCAGATGACATATTCCTATTGGAACAAAATCAACTAGACTACAAGAAAATAAAAAAAATAGCCTGCAGGCTATTGGGCAGGATAAAATGCATTAAACAAATAAACAGATAAATGTTTAATACATAAAATAAACACTGTTTGGCAGAACGTCTAGCCATTCATTATGCTAAAATAAAGATAAGTCTTGATTACAACCAGATGATAAGTGGCCATTCAGACAGGTGGATGTCAGCTTTGCCTACAGAAATGGGAAAGTGACAGCACCCTCCCAGTTACAATTCCTTCTGCAAATGAACACCTGCAACCCAGGTAGGGCACCTGTAGGCTGCAGGCCCCACCCAGTAAATGCAGCTCCCCTCTCAGGCCCTGCTAGGTTTGGGGACAGGTGGTACTGAGAAGGCCTGCTTGTCTCTCCTGCTGGGAGAAGAACCCCCCGTGGCTACCCAGCCCTTGAGCCCGAGTGGGGATGGAAGGCTTGATTCGGCTCACACACAATGGTACCCATTCCTTGTACCTGCACCTGAGTCCTCTTTGCTATAATGGATCATTGGAAACTCACTGTGTTCACTCGAAATACGTTTCCTTGCATTATCTTAAGACTGTGTGAGTCTTCATCTACTAACCCACAAGTTCACCAAACACAAGATATTATGAAGCTGAATATTTAAATGCACTTCCCCATCCAGATATAACTTTTTGTACCTCTAGGTAGACAAATGAGCCAAGACCAGATTAATGTTGACATGCAGGTGATAATCATTTTTACCTTTTAAACTGACCTAAAGCTCGTGTGAGTATTCACTGAAGAGGTGGATTTTGATGGAAATGGTGAGATAGAAAGGAAGGCAGGCAGGCAGGCAGTTCCAAGCACAGAGTCATAGATGAGTTGGAAGGGGTCTGTGAGGTCATCAAGTCCATCCCCTGCTCAAGGTCAGACTTCAAGTCAAACCACCCCCTCGGAGGGCTGCCCAGCTGTGTCTTGAATGCTCCCTGTGTGGGAGAGCCCACCGCCTCCCCAGGTCACGGGTTTCATTGCCCTACTGCTCTGATTGCATATGTGGCAGCAAGAGAGAAAGGATTTTGGGGACAGGGGGCAGGAGAACTTCAGGTGGTGGAGGAGAGTGGAGGGAAGGGCACTGACGGAAGAGCGGAGACTCTCCAGGCTGTATTTCACTTTTATTGCGTTCTGCCATCACGTCTTTTTATGCTGCCTGTGATACCCTTTGATAAAGACAGGCAAGGATTTATTGCTTGCAATAAATCAAATAGAGCAGCTTGAGGTTGAAGCCTCTTTCTTTGCGATTACCGTTCACCATTTGGGAGAGACCTCTTGCGCATCATACCCGACGGAGACATAAGAGAAATCTGGGGAAAGTTCTCAGAAAGGACACTGCCACCCTTCTAGTTCTGCCTGGACTAGCCGAGCCTAAAAGCGACATCTGGGCAAAGACGGAGATGGCCGTTCATGCAGCCTGGTACCTTCCCGGTGTGTTGTGCTGTGACTTCCGGCATGCCTGTTGGTGGATGCTGGGCACTGGCATCCAACACACCAGAGGCACTAGACTGGGGAAGTCTGCAAAGTTGGAGAGCTCTGCGTGGCATCCGGGGGAGCAACCTCAGGACCGTCAAGCAGGTCAAAATGTCCAGGAACAGCCAGAGGAGAAGCACAGCTTAACTTGTACGTAGCCCAGCCAAGGGTCATGGGATCCAGGCCACGCATCCGCCCAGGTGACGAGGAAGAGGAGGCAGGTCCAAGTCCAGGCTAGGGAGATGGAAACAGGGATCACTCAGGCAAAACAATAGCAATGCTTTAGCAGCTAGAAGTTCAGGATGGAGAAGGCACCAAGTAGAGCAGGCTCAGGGCAGAACCTGGCTTGGATGAGACGGGCCAGGTTGCCCTTCCCCAGCCTACCATCCTCCAAAGTTTTGGACTTCAGCTACTGTGAGACCAGAGCGCCAACGGTCAGGAACAGGGCCTGCTGTGGGGCAGGTTGGAACTGCAGGCCATGGGCAGATAATCTGACATAAAAACAGCTCGCTGCTACCCAAAACTAGCCAGCATTTGGTTAGTTTTGGGTAGCAGCAAGCTAATCCGATCAGATCCTGGCTCTGTGAGCATCTGGCTAGTGAAGGAACCAGAATGGCAATGGAGTCCGCTTTCGTTCTTTCATATTCTCTGATTTATGGTGACCCCACGCATGAACACCCTAAAAAATGTCCTGCTTTGACAGCCCTTCTCAGCTCTTGTGAACTCAGGGCTACGGCCTCCTCTATCTCCACCTTCTCCTCCATCTTCTCACAGGTCGTCTTCTTCTTCTGTCTTCAACTTTCCTAGCAAGATTGTCTTCTCCAGGAGTCTGGCCTTCTCCTCATGGGCCCGAAGTACAACACCTTCACTTTTGTAATTTTAGCTTCCAGGCCTGATTTGTGCCAGGACTCCGTTTCTGTCACTTCGAGGTATCCACAAAGCTCTCCTCCAGCTGCATGTTTCCAACGGAGCAACGCTCTCCTTGTCTGCTTTCTTCACTGTCCAGTTTTTACATGCCCCCAGGGGGTCTTTGCGAGGTCCCAGGGCCTTCACTGTCCCCGGCCCCCCAGCAAGACAGTCCAAGCAGTTCATCTTGCTGCTGGTCAAAGTTATCGCAAAGAAATGCTCTGAAGTGTTGCACTGGGGAGATGCAGCCGGAAAGATGGCTGCCAGGATCCTTCCCTTTAGCAGATAAAAGTTTGTTTGGCTTCCTTTTAAGCAGCTGCCCCACACAGCAAGTGCGTGAGGTGGCTGCTTGGGGACCCCCCTGGCCTGTGGGGCCCAGGACCTCTGCCCTTGGTCCGACGCTGGTGCCTCCACTGCTGTGAGAGTTGGGGACAGTGCTGAGTGAGATGCAGCAACCGCCTGGCTCGGCAGAAGGGGGTTTTGGTGCCTGCAGGCTCAGGGACAGGCATGGGTAGAATTCTACCAGGCTTCCCACGCTGAGATGTTATTTCTCCTGGAGACTCGGGGCAGAGGCTGGAATTCCGATGCTTCAAGTCCTCCCTGGAGATCTGGCAACGCTTCGCCCAGCTGGTTTCACCCAAGCTTTGGAACTAGCTGTGCCGGTCAAGCCACTTCTAAACTGCCTTTGCTTGCAGGTCACAAGCGCATAACCATCACGCTGGCCAGGCCAACAGATCAGCCGAAAGAGAATCCCTCACTTTTCGGTCCTCCTTTGGTCCAGAGGTGCGGGCAAAGATGAAGCCCGCCAGACCCCTCCTTCCCCAACACTTACTTTTCCTTCACTGCCCAGAGAAGCAGCTCTCATTTCCTGCAGATCATCCTGACTCTGGCAAAGCATCTGTCCAGGAGGCCTTCTGAAGGTGGCCCGTGTCCCACCGTCCCGATCACCTCCGATGCCACCAGGTAGATGTGGGACGGCTTAGCATCCACATTCACGAGATTCAGGACTACGTGGGGGAGAGGAAAGCAGTGCAGAGTGGCCATGCTGTTGAAGACACGGCACAGAAGGCACGGGCATGGCGGCTGGGGACAGGTGAGAAATACAGCCAGCCTGCCCGCGCTCCACGGCCACAGGAGGAAACGGCGCCGGGCTGAGGCAGGGGGGCCAAAACCCAGTTCCTACTCACCGGTGCCGATGGCAGTTATGGTTTCTTTGTGCTTGGTCTCCTGAGCGATGGTTTC